TGATAACAGAGCTGATAAATGCTCTGTTATCAATGGGAAGTGTGTGTGTGGGGGAAACCCTCCCTAATCACAGTGTCCCCTGGCCATGCTCCCCTCAGCTCCCTGCAAAAGGGAAGGGAGAGCTGCTGTAGAACACCACCCCCCTCCGGCTTCTAGTTGAGCCACTGCAGGCATGTGCCTGCATTTCTGTGATGTCTATCTGGGTTACAAACTGATCTAGCCTAGCCACAGAGGCCACCCATGGTAATTGTGGCACAAATGCCATGAGTTGGCCACCCCAGCACTTGAGAATCCCATACTGGAGGCCATTCTCAACTATATATGGAAAAGGGTAAAGACTAGAAACCATACAGACCTAGGAATAAAGTAGTGGTTAGTATCCCTTCCTAGTTATCTGCTGCCTTGAGTAATGACTCAGCCCACATCCCAACTGCTCCAGTCATGGGTGTACAAAATGAGTGCCAGAAAAATAAAGGCAGTATGTAACCTTTACATCAATAGTTCCCATAATCTGCAGCCAAACTCAATCCTTCTGTAAGTGGATGCTGTGTCATTGACTTCAGTGGGAATTGCATGTGTTTACATCAAGGGCTGAATTTTGGTTGCCCCAGAATACCACTATGGTGTGAACTGTACTCATTTTGTAAAGGTACTGAATACCAAACCACTGCCTCTTGAACCATTTTGCAATATGTAACCATTTTCTGATGAATTTATGTTCAGTTAGCCAACAGAAACATTTATAACATCACTGAATATAGCCTTGCACATTGAATATAGCCCCTTTAATTATGTGGGAGTAAGTCTACTGTCTTTGCTTTTAAAATTAAAATCCTTGGGTTTTGTGTCCCTACCTTGCAAAGGGAATTCTTTGAGCCAACTCACCTCAGAACTGTAAAATAAAATTAAAATTGTCTGCCTCTTTAATTAAGAGAGCTCTATCTTTGCTAAGTAACTAATTCAAAACAAAAACATTTTGTTTCACAGTGGTTACCTAAATAAAATACTCTTTTTACCACCAGTATTGACAATGATCACAGGCCACCTATGATCACATCATAGCAAACAAAATACATTAAAAAAATTGTGTTAAATCATTTTGGTACTAAGTAGCACTAACTGAAAAAGCACAGGAACAGTATTATTTTCGTGCCCCAAGTGCCAGACCCTGGAGGAGCAGGTAGAAGCATACTGTTGGGAAGTATGCTGCACCTGTCCCATAGATAAACAAAATACTTAAATCAAGGGGTTTGTCAAACTCATACTTTCATTTGGACGAAGGCCCCCAAAGGGTGCGTGAAGTTAATGAGATCACCGGTTAAAAACTTCATACCAGTAAACAGGCCATGATTTTCAGAGGTGCTGAGTACAAAGTCCCTCACTCCCTAAGGATTCAACGGCAATACAGATGCTTAGCACCTCTGAATATCACAGCACTTTTACTGAAATATCAAAATAGGGTTTTAATTTGCCCAATGCTAGACACCAAGGCTGAAAATTTTGCTGAAACGTCATAGTAAAAATGTGCTAAAACTCCCCAAAAGTCCTGTAATTATATTTATCTAAAATCACCTGTGAGCATCTTGAGCTGTTGCTATACTTGCATCTGCTTAATAAATAATCCCTTTGTTATAATCAGCAACAGCCTGGAACCTCTTGCAGGTGAGTAGTTGTACAATGGAAGGACTCATCAAGAAACATAAGGATCATTCACATCTATTTTTTATAAATGATTTAAAATCTCAGCTTTTCTCTTTTTTAAAAAAAGGGGTTTACATCAGCGATGGTAATTCACTTCTCTTCAGGTGAGGACTGTCCTGCTTAGGGTAAGCAGGCAGCTGGAATTCCTACTGAGACTCAGACCCCATTAGAGCTCTTCTAAAAAACAGCTGACTTGATGGAGACCAAGGAAAAGAAGCAATGGAGAGGTGTTTTCACCCTGCCTCAAGTAGTCCTGGAAAACCAGCCTAAACAAGTCAGCATATGTGCCTGATTGGCATTTGCCTCTTGAGGCTAGAATGGACACTAGCTCTCATGTAGTGAATGGCTTCTGGAAATATGACCTGCAGGGAAGAGTAGGAGGAAGAGAAGTCCAGCCTGTGGAGTTAGAACATCAACTCCTCTTTGGATCTGCTTCCCATTTTTAGTGATGCATTGAGGATGGGTAGAAGGGGAAAGCAGGAGATAAATAGGAACAAAGAAAGAGTAGTGAGCATAGAGCAACACAGGAAACACAGAAGGAGAAGAGTACTCCAGAAATACAAGAAAATAGAGGGATAATCCCAGAAGGTGGAAAAGAAATGGTGTGAAAAATAATCAGTTTATATAACTTTTGGATGCTGTGATAGCTTATACCACCATGTCTGTGGCAAGATCCCCCCACGCATCCACTACAAGGCTTCAGGATATGATATAGGTTTGGTGGCAGGCTGTTCTCTTTTAAGACTGGTACGGACAGCACAAGCCTATGTTTTGAGGATGCTGGTTTTGCTTAGTCAGGCTGAGCTGTGGCAAACAGGGCCCCAGAAAGGCCTGCTCAGCACAGGGTCCGTAGAACAGATGTGGAAGGGTTGAGGTTGTGTGTAATGTGGACTGCTCCAGTACCCCACTAGTGATTGTCGAAGTCAGCACACTGAAGGAAACCTCAGCCTTGTTATGTAGGTCCCAATATCTGTAGATGGATTGCTTGATGCAGAGAACTAGAGGGAGATTTAAAAGGCAGCTTTGCTATCTTGAGGTCTCATGCGTGAGAAAGAAGGCAGTTCTCACTGCCAAAGACCTCAGTCCATAAAACAATGGTGCTCCCCTGACTCTTTTATGTTTAAGAAAGTTGGGTTATTCTGCAACCCCACATCTGGTCCTTGGAGAGCTTTCACCAGAGGTGTTTAAGATGGGAAGCCTGGTAGCACAGGGCACCCATCAATAGGTTAATATATAGAGCCAAGTAAAAATACATGGAATCAGTGATCCCTGTAGGCTGTGCCATCTAGGCTCTGCCATATCACATCCTTGATGACAGGACCCCAACAGAGTTGCTATCTTGGCAGGTGGAAACACTACATCATGTCTGACTTGAGGAAGGCCAATGCACATTGCAAATGACACACTGGTCAGACACTTAGATCAGACAAACAACAGAGTGTTTCTAGAGATAACTGCTGAGATGGAGGTGGGGTTGTTAGTGACAGGACATAGTTTGTTCGTTATTTTAGTCTGTGGTGTTGCAAGTAGAGCTGGTGCCTGGGGCAAACCCTGCAGGAGAGATGGGGGTGGAGGGGAAGAGTCCAGTTCTGGGAGCAGGGGTGGAGAAGAATACAGCAGTCTTACTTTGCTGGAAACAACTGAACTGTCCCTGGCTGAGCTGCTGCTGCAGCTGCTGCCTCAGCTGTTGCTCTTAAAGGAACAGAAACTAAGAAGATAAAAGGATTTTTTTTCCTGTTTGTTTACTCAGTGTGATAGGACTTTGTATAAAGTCAGTTTCATGATTTCCCTTGTAAAAATTCTGCAAATGCTTTAATGAAAGACATAGAAAGACTAAGGTTATTTTAATACTGCATTATCAAGATCTGATCTGAGTCCTGCATACATTATTGCTTTCACCACTATTGTCACTACACAGATGACAATGTAACAGTGGTGTTGTAATTTTTTTGGAAGAATTTTAGGTTAGATTTACCCAAAATAAACAGCCACCGTGGAAAAGTCCTGAGGTGTATGGGTACTCCAGGCTTTCGTGTAAATTGTTTCAGTAGGTGAGTCCCTATGAAAGACACAAAGAGGAGCTACGTTCAGGATTCGAATGATTGGGGAGCTCAGGGGGCTGAACATCCCTCATAAGAAACTAGAGCCCCCCTGTAACATCTGAAAATCATAATCGGGGGAGGGGGCCTCCAATTTTATTAGGGCATCATGATGGGCAGCCCAATTTTTTTTGCAGATCCCTCCCCAGGAGTCAAAGTGTAATTCAAACCCTGGCTGGGTTGCTGTGGAAATCCCCTAGGAGCTCAGTGAAGGAAGTACAAACAGCATTGACAATACAGTATAGTGAGTGCTACAGCAGCTCTGGACCTGTCTTTAGATGGTTTGTGGCTAAATCACACTGCAAAATCTAGCTGCCAAATTTAGTGCAACCCCAATGTTGACATTTGTTGCTAGTCAATGTTCACTGATTTTCCTCTTCAGCAGCTCCCTGAGCAATGTGAGAAGTAGGGAGAGGGAGTAGAGACCTATTTCTTGCACCCCCCACCCCAACCTCAACCATGTTAAAATCATAATTCAATTAAAATCATAAGACCAGCTTAAAATTCATTGGATTAAAAAAAAAAATACATTTTTGGATCTCTCTTTTTTTAAACCCTAGAGGCAGGTCACGTTGCCAAGCTTTTCTTCCAGTCGCAACCTTCCTGTACTAAAGAAATGACAGTACTGTTGCGGGAGGAAAGCAGAGATGCTTTCAGATTTGCTTAACTCCAAGAACTGAGACCTTAAGAAAAACACCAAGTATTGCGAGGCTCATTTATAAGTCTCATGAGTTAGGAACGCAGCCGTGGCCAGGGGCTGCCTGGCACTTGGGGGAAAGAAGGAGGTGGGAGCAGGGGGAGCCTGTGTGCAAGGCGACCAGGCCGTGTGTTGCTAGGGGAAAGACAGCTGAGCCTAGGCCAGCCCCCTCCTCCCCATCCCGTCCCTTTCTGCTCCACCATTAACTTCCCCACAGCTGGCCTTATGGTCTGACTCCTGCCCCCCCTCCAGCCCTGGCAGGGGGCAGTTGGTGCACCTGCCAATGGGCCATTTCTCTCCTGCTCCTCACTGAGCGCTTCACATCAGCCAGGGGAGCGTGGAGGGCAGGAGGGGAGGCACAGTCTCCCTGCTCCTGGTGCCATAGCACTGCAGCTGGCCAGGGGGACCCTGCAGGCCTGTGGGGCAGGGTGGTGGCTGTGGTGGTCGGGCGTGGGGCCTGCGACAGCCTGCCAGCCCCTGCATGCGACCTGCCCGGGCTGAAAATGAACTGGGTTGGGGGCAGTCGGTGAGTGAAATGACAGCACAGGGGCAGTGGGAGGCCGCAACCTCACCGCAGCATGGGGCTGGGTGTGCAGGGGCCTGCCCCATCTCACGCCGGGCACCATGTGACAAGACCTATTGCTCCTCCCTGGGGGGAAGGGACAGCTGGTGGCAGAGCAGCCTCCTCAGTCCCTTCTCTGCTTAGAGAGTCTGGGGCTGTCCAGAAGCGTCTCCACAGGAGTGGGCAGGATGGCACGTCATGAAGGGGCTTCACCCCACATACACCACTTCCCTGCCAGGCACTTGGTTGGGCAACGCGGGCTGTGTGGGAAGGGGCTGTCTCCCGCCCACCTGGGACTGGGCAGACATAGGTGGTGTGAGAAGGCTTATCCCCTCCCTCAGCTCCACGACGGAGCAGCCTGGGCAGTGTGTGACTGTCAATGAAAATGAAAATGAAAATACTGTTGGTATTATAGCTATGGATGCTGCTGGATTTACTATGAATTATTTCTAACCAAATCCGATACCTTCCACATCTTATGATAGTCCAAATGCATGTTTCTGCATGAGGAGAAATCAAAGGGACTCAAGCTCATCTGAACCAGAGGAAGTTTGATGATAAAACACCTCCCATTTAAACAAAGCCAAGTTTAGCCAGAGGAAACCTTTAGTTCCTCTGTTTCCGCTGGCCAGTGTTAAATAAAAACAAAGCAGTAACCAAAGACAACAAATTACCCAAACCACCCAAAATGGTTGAAAGATATGTGCTGCTACCCGTTGTTTACCACCTGGGACTATCACTGTGGTTTCCTGTTTACAACCCCATTGCTCCCCCTTCTTTAGTAATTGCCAGTCGGTATGCAAAGTGTCTCTATGCTGTCTTCTTCATCTGGAAAAGATTTCACTTTTTGATCTGGTTCTGAAAAGACAGAATTTAATTATTTATGTAACTTAAATTTCTCACTGTCATTACCCCATCAGGAATTAATAATGTTAATTAAAAATCTCATTCATTATCTTATGACTTCATACTTTTTGTGTCTGTTCCCAAAATGATGGGAAACTCATTTTATTAAAAAAAAGTTTTATAAAAAAACTGAATTTAGCTTTTTGGCGTTATAATTCTGAACTCATAGTTTATTTGATTTACATATTATTTTATTCTGTTTATTAGTTTTATTACAGCAGCATCTAGTGATCCCATTTGAGATTGTGATTTTATTATATTAAACAGAAAACAGTTTGTGTTCTGAAGAGTTTACAATCTGAGTAGACAAAGCAAAGGATAGAAGAAGTTAAGTATTGTTATCCTCATTTTTACAAATCAAGAAGTAAGGCATAGAAAAATTAAGGGATTTTCCCAAAGGCACTCAGGAAAACTACAGAAGCAGCCAAAAATTGGACCCAGATATTGAGTACCAGTCCAAGGTCTTTGCCACAAGATTCTCTCTCTTCTTGAACCAAAAGTGAAAACCAAAAGTTGTTTATCATACTTACTACTTAGATGAACATTTCTGGGGAGGATCATGTACAGCTGCTGGGCTGTAAAGAAACGTGAAAATCTCCACCCACAGGCTGGTAACATTTTTATACTTAATATTTAAATTTAAAAAATCCCCTTCATTTATTTATTTTCAATTACTATACCACCTGGCTATCCATTAGAAATTTAAAATTCAAAGGATTTCCCCATGCTTTTGAAACTAGGCTTGCTAAATACAATTTTAGAATCATCCTAAACACACATGCAGAGTCATACTAAAGTAACCCCATAAAGATTTTTGGAAAGCTTCTTTTTGAAGGGAAGTTTCAGTTTGCAATAACTATCGGCATAAATGCTTGTGAATACTATGCTTATACTTGTATAAATATGTCACAAGACATCTTAGAGCAGATATCTAGGCCCCCCGCTTGGTGGCCAGAAGTGCACTTCTCTGCATCTGGCCAATGGGGCGGGGGGGGGAGGGGGGTGTACAATGATCCAAAAGGTTGAAAACCGCTGTGTTAAAGAACAGGGGCAATGCTCCATTTTTTTTCTTTGTTAGTTTTGTTTTTTTTAATACTGTTCACCATGGTATGAAAGGCAGAATAGAAAAGTGCAGAATGAACTGTAAAGATTCCTTGTATTATTTTAAGGGTTTTAAAATAGATAGTTAAGTTATATACTTGGTTAATTGCTTAAGAGTCTTAATTTGGGGATACACAATGTTTTTAACTGTAGTGATTTAAAGATAATGGGGCAGAAGCCCAGCTGGTAGAAATCAGCATAGTTCAAATTGTCTGCAGTAGAGTTCTACTGACTTTTATGAGCTGATGGCCTTGCCAACTGTCTCAACTTGAAATATGATGGCTTACACATGTAACTCTCAGTAGTATTAGTAGGTATTAGAGTCCTATATCCTTATACCTCAACATTAAGCAACAGCTTACAAATAAATACGAAATCCTTTCATGCATTTAATGTTATTTGCCATCTTTCAGGAGCAGAATCATACTTAAGCAGGAGAGAAGAAAGCAAAAAGTAAGTAGTTTTTTTAGCTCTGCATACTGTATATTACACAATTACAAAATAGTTTAATGTTGATTTCACATTCAAGGAAGTCTGGACTGTGACATGGTATATCTTTACATACTTTCAGTGTAACTTTTAAGGCAAAATTTTTTTTTTCTGAGAAATCGTCATGCTTAATTATGCATTATGTTTTTATTTTAGATTGCTGTGCAGACATTCAATGCAATAAAAGTAGTTACTATTCAATTGTGAACATTTTCCCACAATGCAGGAATTAGTGCATAATGACTTGAAAATTCATAAAGCACAAATATGTGGTCAGTTTAACTAATAGCTAATTACGGACTCGTAGCATTTTTTTCTCTAGGCCTACGCATAAAAAGTTTCGTTTAAGTGTTTTATGCTGTCATTCAAACTAGTACATCAGCTTCTTTGTATTTACCTGATTTGAAAAAATATTGCTTGTATTAAACATACTGCTGACATTCAAATGAAACTAGACAAAAAGAAAAAGCAGTGACGGAGTGGTACATAAGTGTAATAAGAACAGACATAACCTCCTTAGTAGCCAGGACCAACAGGACAGCATTGGGAAGTGAAGCCATCAAGTCTGCACCCTTCCTAGACCCAAAATAGATACCATGGCACTGCTTTTCAAGGCATATAGGGGAAGCACAATAGACTTGCAAGATGGAGCCATGCCCAAGAACAAAGACTGTCTTCCCATTGGAGAGTGGGAGCAGATACTGTCCCCATAGTTTTGCACTTTCTAGAATACATCATAGGTCAGTGGTGCCTCATTATTAGGGTCTAACTGGCTAATCCCCAGTAATAATGATACAATTTTGTAGTGGGCTTTAGCGGAGTGGAGGTGACAGAATCAAGCTGGGGGTCTAGTGCAAGGCAAGCTACTGCCTGCCCTAGCTCCTACCTCTCAGCTCTCCCTTGAGGTTCTTAACTAAATGTCCTGAAGATCAGTGGTTTCAAGTTGCAACAAGGTTGGACATTAGGAAAAAATTTCTCACTAGGAACACTGGAACAGGTTACCCAGAGAGGCTGTGGAATCTCCATCCTTGGAGGTTTTTAAGACCCAGCTTGACACAGCCCTGGCTGGGATGTTCTAGTTGGGGATGGTCCTGCTTTGAGCAGGGGGTTGGATTAGATGACCTCCTGAAGTCCCTTCCAACCCTAATTTTCTATGGTTCTATGAATATGCATGAAGTAACAGCAGTAAACTATGCACAGGGTCTATTTTGAGGTGATAGGCAGAAGGATTATTTGACATCTGAATAAGCTACCAAAGGACAGGAGTGGTGGGTTTTTTGTTGATTTTTGTTTTCTTTTTTTGAGGATAGGGGGTTCAGAGTCTTTTTGTATTATAAGGTGATAAACCACAGAGCACAAGATTTGAAGACGTGGAAGAAAGAGAGAATGAAAGTGGGAGGCAAGGAAAGTAGGGTACAGAAAAACTAAGGGATGTGAAAGGATTAAGAGAGGAGAGCAATGAGAACTGTGTTAAACTGCACGAGGGTTGAATTTACCTATTTGTCTTCCTAACTGGAAATAAGTTTATCTATGTGTCACAGGCTAGGTTGTAAATCCGGTCAAGTACAAAATTACATTTCAGTTCAAAGGTTTTTATGGAATGGCACAGCCTGGAGCCTTCATTGTCCTTCTTGGAGCTAAAACTAAACAAGTTGTTATTGGTTTTATTTACTCATTCATTATTGTTTGTTGTACTTGATACCTGTGATCTCAGGATGATTTATTTAGCTGAGTGATCATCTGCAAAATTCAAGGCTTGTTCCCTACATTGCTAGTAATGAAATTCAAGCGTTAAACTGAATACACAACCCAGAGAAATCACAAGTCAACCCAGAGAAATTACAAGTGTCGATCAGATTTGCTTTTGACCCTTGGCATATGAGGACATCTCAAAGGTCCCAGTCATGGGGTTTTCTTTTTTGTCAGAGGGCAATATTTTCTGTGCCAAGAAAGACAGTCTAGGGAACAACAAGCTCTTTCTGCCCACATATAGATGGTCACATCTTTATAATCTTGTTGATTTGTTTACCAATTTCTAAGGTTCACAAAAAAATCTTAGCTTTTAAAAATTATTGACTATATGTGGTTTTCCTTCAAGGAATTTGGCACTGTTTTATGCAAAAGAGATTTTACATTGTTAGCATGTGGCATTTGAGACAGTGAAGGAATCAATTTTTCCACAAAAATAACCATGACTATTTTTGTTTCAAAGACAATAGTCAGTAATATTTATATAAGATGCAATCTTTTTTTAAAGTAATAAATGTGACCTTTAAAAATATTTTTACAATCCCTACAGCTATATCCATAGTGTGTAGGCATTTGGTATATGATTTTATTGACAGTAAATGGAATTGTGCTGCTAAGCTGTTTATGCAGTTGTATAGAAGTGTGCCACAGATACTGGTAAGGGGATCTAGAGTTTATTTAAAGCAGCTAATTTTTCTTTTGAAAATTATAGGAATTCTTCGAAAAGAAAAAACTTAGATCAAAGATGAAGCTGCTGGGAGTGTCCTCATCCCCTAAAAGTTCAACAGTCAGTTTAGATCTTCTCAATCTGTATGTTGTTAATCAGATAGCAAGCAAGAAGGATAATACTGGTGAGTTTAATGTAGTAATAGTCAGGTTTTACAATTGAGAGCCATATCCTGTAACCTCGAACTGCTACTGTAAGATTATTAACTGGTTATGTCAAGAATTGCATCTACCTTTAGGTAAACATAATAACTAAAAGTGAAAACAATATTCTCACAGAAAACCAGGACAGAAGAGGAACCAAATCATCTCGGCTAGCACCATACGTTCACCTTCAAAATCATGCAGAACATATGCACTCATTTCATTTTGCATCCTTTACTTCCCTTATGCCCTTTTTTCAACTATTCCATTCAAATTCTATTTCTAGTGTCATAGAGTTGTTGGTTGTGGCTGTGTTGGTCTAAGGACATAGGCAGGCAAGGCTCTTGAGGTAAATGTGATATCTTTTATTAAACCAACTAAATAGTTGGAAAAATTATTCTTTGCAAGCTTTGGGGTACAAACACCCTTCTTCAGACACAGGGAGAGTTTGTTGTTTCTTTGCGTTCTCTCCTGGGTAGAAACACAAAGAACACAAAAAAATCCCACCCAAAAAACTCTCCCTGTGCCTGAAAAGGGTGTTTGTACCCAAGAGCTTGCAAAGAACATTTTTTCCAACTATTTTGTTGATCTACTAAAATATATCACATTTACCTAAAGAACCTTGTCTGCATATTCCTAGTGTCATGCCTTCTTTCATGGTACCCACAACACTTGGAATAGCCTCTTCCTCCTGCTGCACTGAGTGCCTTTCTTCACATCCTTCCTCAGAATCTTACTTTGGTCTCCTGAATAACAAACATCTCCACATTTCCTGAAAACCTCCTGTTGTTCTGTGTAACATTATCTGAGTCAGATGATGGGGATCTTTCCATTTTATGCTAAAAAAGGTGAGGGGGGAAACAGGCTCCTCTGTTTTTTCATGGGTAGTGAGAACAAACTGAATGAGAAGTATAATAGAGCCTTGCAATGCCTGGAATTTGATGGATACAAAAGAACATACAGATAGAATAATACATTTAAAATAGGATTAACAATAAGCAGTTCAGACAAAGGAAATGGCAAGCAAAGCAAAAATATACTTATATTGGTTAGGTTGCCTGTATTGGTTAGGAAGAATGAACAATGGGTTATGCCTTGTTAAAATAAACTAGAAAGCTTAAATCTTGCTTTGATTCAGATACCAATGTTCTGAACATTTTTATTACAGAAAGCATAAGAAAACCAGTCCACGTTGATATGACAAGGGGTATAAAAATACCAGTGAAAAGATATAATATGGAACTTCCTGTGTCACCGCAACGTGCATCATATAAAACAAATCTAGATGACATCCAAAACAGGTACCTGTTTAATTATAGGCACTAGCTAACCCTTAATGAAGATGTGCACAAAGACAAAAATTCCATGATGCTGTTTCTTTATTATCATTTGTAAATTTGAAACATGACATTTCAAGGTACTCGAGAGTATTACAAAGGTTCAAACAGGCAATTAAGACAAGAACCCCCCCCCCCAGCAGTTCCCATGCTCCTACTCAGGAAACCTACCCAGATCTAGAGATACCTGGAAAAAAAAAACTACCTTATTTGACCTTTTATTGTGTTTTTCCCTTCTCAGAAGCCTAGCTAAGTAGATAGGCATTATAGCCTGCAAAAGTAATCAAACCTGGCTTATTTCAAACCACAGAAAAATGTCTTGGGGACCAAAACTGAGGACCTCTCATACAGAACATCCTGCCAGCAGCTCCCCTTTCCTTAAACTGAGGGGTCTTCAGATTCAATATTTGCTAATTGCTAGCATGGCAGTTTGCCATAGAGAACAAATAGTCTCTCAAATAAATCAAACCTGAAATTTCACTCTCAACCAATAAATGGCTTTTAGAGATGACAGAGAACTTGCATACTGTGCTCTTGGCAAGAACAATCACTCAACAAGTAGGCTGCTTGATTGTGCAGCAGCTCCATTTCCTAGGTTGATATGTCTGTATGTAGAACTATAGCAGTAGTCTAATATTGAGATAACAAAGGCTCCCACTGCTGCAAGATGGTTCTAATCTTCAAAACAAACCAAGGTGGGAAAAATTATTCCTGAACATTACCAGTAGCAGCTGGGAATCAAACAACAATCCAGCCTGCAAACTCTAGTAACATATGATTTCAGGCCATAGCTACAGACTAGGAACAGTATGCTGGTAAACAGTCTCACTGAAAATGCTTTATGAGCCAAAGTAGTCAAATATATCACCATGAACTACTAGTACAATGTTGTTAAAAATGGCTTAATATGGTCCTTGGGCATATAAACAGGGAAGGAATGAGTAGGAGTTAAAGTAGTGTAAGAGTGATATTATAGCTGTGATGGTTCAGAAATTATATGAGGCAAGGATTTTTTAGAGTAATATCATTTATTGGGCCAACTATGTAGTTGGGATAGAGTTAATTAAGTTTTCAAATACAAGGCATTCTTCTTCAGGTTAGAGGTGATTTTTAATCTCTGCATACAGCACAAGTGCAATTAACACTGTAATAAAGCAACCAGTTCTGGAGTCAATATTTTTAAAAGGGATATTGAAAAAATGGAAAAAGGCAAGAAGCCACTAAACTAATTTAGTTTTGGATAAAATGTTTTACATTGAGATACTTGGGGAAATCAATCTGTTTTGTTTATCCAAAAGAAGGCCAAGAGGTGACTTGATTATTAGTAGATAAATGTTTTCTAGCTAGACTAAGAACTGGTACAAAAGGGTTCTTTAATGTATTGGAGATAGGCATAATGAGAATGAATAGGTGCAAGCTGATAAATTAGAAATAAGGTTCTAATATTTAATGGTACCCTTCAGAACAAATTACCAAATGGACTGGCGGATTTTTAAAGTCTTCAAAGTAAGTCTGGAAGCCTTTCTGGAGGGTGTACTTTAGCAAACATAAATTATTAAGTAAATAGTTGTAATTCTATGGCCTATGGTTAGGAACCTACCTAAGTCATGGTGAGACAATGGTTTTTCATGGCCCACTTACTGAGCAGTTTTCACAGGCATTTTGTGGCAGTTCCACCCCTTGCCACTGATTGGCGGAGGGCACCTTCACTCAGTCTATGTCGCTACTGCCCTTGCCCTGAGACTGAGTAAAGGTGCCCTCTGCCAATTATGGCAAGGGCACTACATCTTTCCCTGCCCCAGTGGGAAAGTCTACAGGGGGAGAGGAAAGGGCCAACTTACCGTCCTGCTAGCTGACACCAACCCAGATCACTGAAACGTGGTGGGACCCAACGCATGACTGGGCAGTGAATATCAAAGGCTGTACAGGAGGGATAGGACAGGGAAGAAAGGTGGGGGCGTGGCATTCTACATTAAGGAGGAATACACATCCTCGTCAATTAGCAAGGAATCAGAGGAGGGGCACTCTGAAGTTCTCTGGGTTAGAATACAAGGCAGTCGAGGGGAAAGAGACTTAACGGTGGGGGTCTACTACAGACCACCCAACCAAGGGGAAGAGCTAGACCAGGAATTCTTAAGTCAGCTCACGGAGGTATTTAGGTTAAAGGATGTGGCCGTCATGGGTGACCTGAACTTTCCACACATCTGCTGGGAAGAGCAATCAGCCAAGTCTGACTGCTTACGTAGGTTCCTAGCCAGAATGCAGGACCTCCATCTAACCCAGGAGGTGCACAGCCCCACCAGGGGAGACACCTTGTTGGACCTGGTGCTGGCCATGGGTGACGACCTGGTGAGGGGGCTGCAGGTGCTCGACCACCTGGGC